TCTTTGTGTGTGTGGTGATGGGGACTGAACCCAGGGTCTCACTCTTGCCACACACCATTAATCTGTTTTTGTTTTTTTTTGTGTGTGTGTGTGTGGTGCTGGGGACGAATCCAAGACTGTGCACACACTAGGCAAGTGCTCTATGGTTCAGCTGCACCCCCAGTTCCTATCTGTTTTTTTTTTTTAAAGGATGCCTGATAAAACACTGCTGTCTTCAGTTATGAACTGTAGTCATGTGATGAGCTATAAGCAGTTTAGGACCATACTCCCAACCTCCCTTCTACGCCACTGTACCTCCACAAGTGACAGGACCCAAAGGGGGGATGCCTGGTGATCTGCAAAAAGCAGACCACTGATCACGCCCATCCCCTGCACTGCAGCTCCCACCCAGCCCCTTCCCTTCACACAGGAGTGTGCAGGCACAGCAGGCTTTGGATTAACTATAAATTATTTGCAAAAACCTCATAACTGACACTCTGCAGTAGCCCCATCCAACAGAACTTTCTGCAGTGACAAAAACGGTTCTATTACCCACATTGTCCACTGGGCACATGTATCGGCCAAGTCCTCCACCATCTTTTTTTGTGTGTGGTGATGGGGACTGAACCCAGGGTCTCGCTCTTGCCAAACACAGGTTCTGCCACTGAGTCACACCCCCAGTCTACTGAACCCCAAATGGTGAATGCAACTGAGGAACTGTACTTTAAATCTAAGTCTAACAGCCACAGGTGGCTAGAGGGTACAGTACTAGACAGCATAGTTCCAGAACCTTACAGCAATATAGTTGTGTGCCACTTGGCTTACACAAAAAATTCCTATTATATTTTTGTTTTATAAACCAACAAGGGAAAGTATGAATAGATTAGAATTTTATTCTTATGACAAGCTGAGCCCCCTTGTTCTCCCCAACACTCCCTAACCTGAGCTTTCCCCAACTGTCCCTAAATACAAGCTGGTCTTGAACCCAAAGTGGTCAGCACAGCAAGGACTGCAGGCCTGTCCAGTCAGCCCATCCTGAGCTAAGAATCATTTTTACATTTTTAAATGGTTGGGGAAAAAACAAAACCAATATGAATCACAATATGTATGTGTGGCCATGAAGGATGGCACTTCCTATGGTCACTTTGCAGAAAGGAAGCTGGCCCCTGACCAGGAGGGCCTCTTAAGCCCACCTCCAACCCAGCCTGCAGTTCTCCAGGCCTAGTGCATCAGTGTTTTGCCAACCACTGGTTTCCTCCCTCTTCCTGAGATCAGAACTGCTGCCACCCTCAGCATGTCAAAGCTATTACATTGGACGGAAGTATTTCATCCTGGTCTCTGCACGTGCACAGCTTTGGATTCATCCCCAGCACCACATGCACACACTCACAAAACCCGGATGATTTTCAAGCTAAAAAGAGATCACAGGTGGAGGGGCCTCACCTCCGTCCTGCAGCAGGGTGTGGGAACAGGACTGGCTGAAATTCAAAGTCTTTGGGCAGTAGACACAGCAGGGACACTCCCAAACCACAGACAGCACTTTGCTGCAAGGATAGTAAATCTCCCTCCAAACTTATCCTCTATTAGGACTGCCAAATTCAGCATATAAGAAAACAGGCTGCCTGGTTAGATTTGAACTTCAGATAATAATTTTTAGTAAATGCTGACCCAAATGTAGGATATACTTATACTCAAAAATTATTCCTTGTTTATCTGAAATTCAGATTTAACTAGGAATCCTAGTTTCTGGCAAATCAAATTCTCCACACCTTGGGCTGCTAGAAGCCACCTCTTTGTGAACTCAAGATGTCCCTGTGTGTGTGCCTAAGTGGCAAAGCTCAGCTGTAGAAATCCTCTCCATCTAGTTGAACTGTCATCTCCTCCTGTACATTCACCATGAGTCCCAGAAACCTGTCTACACCCCTGCCACCACATGGGCACACAGCCACATGAAGGACTACCCACAGCGGCTGTTATCGGCAGGAAGGCAATCTTTTTTTTTTTTTTTTTTTAAATAATAATTGACTGTAATGCCACAGTCAATTTTTTTTTTTTTTAAAGGGAGAGAATTTTTTTTTTTTAATATTTATTTTTTAGTTCCCGGCGGACACAACATCTTTGTTGGTATGTGGTGCTGAGGATCGAACCCGGGCCGCATGCATACCAGGCGAGCGTGCTACCGCTTTGAGCCACATCCCTAGCCCCAGGAAGGCAATCTTAACCCACTCAGGAGCACACAATGAACACACCTTTTCTACAGTACAACCCCAGATCCACACTCCAGGACAGCCTCCCGAGGAAGAGGGTCCCTCTAATGCTCCTGAGGGCCTGGTTGCTTTAATCCTACAAATGCTGAACAGGGTTTGCTCTTAGTTCTTTTCCCAACAATACATACAATTTTGTTCTTGGCTCTTTCTTTGTCCAGTTTCAAAAATTCACCAAGGGTTAATTCTTCAAGCTTCTTCTTGACAGAAAGGAATGCACACCCAGACGAATGCTTTTTATGTTCCTCTCTAGAAAAGTCAATACACAAGCATGTCAACCAAATAACAATGCCTCGTGACCAACAGCATTTCCCATCACCACCGGCCATCTCTTAGGATGTGCCCTGCTCTGCTTCAAGAGCAAAGGGTTGGGCCCAAAGCTGATGGGCCCAGTGCCATCCCAGGCACATACCACACAGCTCGCTTACTGCCTTTTCTCTCTCTGTGGAGGTCTGCCCCACATCCTTGTGGCTAGAGGATTTTATCTGGAATTCTTTACAATTAGTAGGAAAAGTGTTGTATAGTTTCTGTCCATAGGAATTATATGTCAAAACCCTCTGAAATTCTCAAGGTACTTCTGGAAGTAAATTTATTTCACAGAAATATTTACACAGTCCACCAGTTCAGGATAAGGACTGCATTAGCCAAGCTTCCCAAGGTGACTCCTCTCCTCACACCCTCATTCTCTGCAATGGGAATATCCCTGGAAAGTGGAAATCACTGTAGCCAGCTTAGGATTAGGAGAACACAGCCACACAGAGTCCAAAAGGACAGTCAACAATAACCATAATGTAAAAATATCACAACATTTAGAAATCCCCTCTCAAGAATAATGCTATTCTGGGTCAGGCACAGTGGTGCACGTCTTTAATCCCTGCTAAGGCAGGAGGATCACAAGTTCAAAGTCAACCTCAGCAAAGGTAAGGCACTAAGCAACTCAATGAGATCCTGTCTCTAAATAAAATACAAAATAGGGCTGGGGATGTGGCTTAGTGGTTAAGTGCCCAGGTTCAATCCCTGGTGCCCCCCCAAAAAAAGAATAATGCTTTTCATGGATGGGGCACTATGGTTAGTTATTTTGGGCTGGTGGGGGTGTGTGTGGCTCATTTGTAGAGTGTTTTGCTTGCATGGCCAAGATTCTGGGCTCAATCCACAGCACTGCAACCCCCTCCCCCCCCCAAAAAAAAAGGAAAAGAAAAGAATAATGCTGCTGATGTTTCCCACTGATCCCTAGTGTGACCACCACTAGCCTATTTCATTCAATGCTTGGTCACAATAAAGAATGAAATAGGAAAAAAACAGCAACACCCTTCTGCCCAGAAGAGAAACTCAAGTAATTCTCTGGGGAAGAAAATTCAGGTTGTGGAAACAATCGATCCTGACAAGAAGATGATGTGAGAAAAGAACATGGAAAGACATTACCCAGGGCTGGGGACAGAGCTCAGCAGTAGAGTCTATGCCTATCATACACAAGGCCCGGGGTTTGATGCCCAGCATGGCAAACAAACAATCCTGAAAAATATGGCACATATATTTACACAACTTTTTAAAAAATAAGTGTCTTGGGGCTGGGATTGTGGCTCAATGGTAGAGCACTTGCCTAGCATGTGTGAGGCCCTGGGTTCAAGTCTCAGTACCGCATATAAACAAAGGTCCATTTACAACTAAAAATAAATATTTTAAAAAAATAACAGTGTCTTGAAGAACAAATTCCTAAACACTGAAGTGTAATTTTTAAAAGGTGTCTTTTGTGGTATGTGGATTATAAAGCTATTTTTTTAAAAAAAATCCCAAGTAGTAAAAGCATTTGGAGATTCCTGGGAGTACTCAGGGCAGAAAAAAATCCTGTATTCTGCTGAACTTGGAAGGCATGGAGCAACCTACACCAATTTCCTTCAACATCCACCCTAAAGAACGTTTTGGTCAAACAAGATTTGGTTAGGGTTTGTGTCACCAAGGTGTCAGCAGTCAGAGCCGCAACCATTCACACGGCTGTTTAAAGCCAAAATGAAGCAGAGAAGGCCATCGCTCCTGCACTAACAATCTCAGCTCTATTCAATCCGTTTTGGAGGATCCCAATTCAAATCAAAGCGTCCTGATGGAACTGGGCATCTCAGACCCCGCCCCCCACATCGAGGCTCGTCTGGAGGGACTTACAAGGGGTTGTCACTTGGCTCCCAGCCTTCCAGCTCCTTGAAGCAGAAGAAACACTTGGCCAAGTCGGGCTCGTTGTCAGTGGGGCAATGGATGAAGCCGGCCTCGGCCATCTGCAAGAACAGGGACAGCTCGTGAGCGGATACGAGGTCGGACCCAGGCTCAGGTAGGGCCGGCAGTCCCTGGGAGGGGTCGTTCCGGGGCCCCAGGACAGACAGGCCTGGCTAGGGACGCGGCGGGGCGAGCCGGGCTGGCGGCCGAGAGGCCAGGGGTCTTACCCGCTCCGGGGTGCAGGCGCAGCCCTCCAGGAAGGGCCAGTTCTTGAACGTGGAGACGCGGTGGTCCTTGAGATAGAGCTGCCAGGTCGGTGGCAAGAACTGAGCCCCCATGGCGCCGCCGCCGCCTGCTCGAGCGATTCAAATCCCGCGGGTAGCGGCGCTACGCGGGGCATGCCGGGAATTCCCCGCCCCCAATCCTTGCCCGCGGCCTTGTGGGAGTGGGAGGCGCAGGGCAAGCCGGGAACGCCCCGCCCCCGAATCCTCGCCCGTGGCCTTGTGGGAATGGGAGGCGCGGGGCATGCCGGGAACGCCCGGCCTCAGGATCCCCGCCCGCGGCCTTGCTGGAGCTGAGGATGGGCGGAGGCCGCGTTGCGGGTGCAGGTAGTTACCGGCGCCTCCGGGTGAGCCTTGACGCCCTGCCGGCTCGCCGCAGGTCCTCGCCGGTGCCGTGCGGCGCACACCCGGAGGCCCGGCACCTGCTGCGGGAGAGAGGCCGAGTGGATGTGTGCGTAGCCGAGCCCGGCATCCTGACGTGCCTCCCAAACGTGGGGACCAGGCTGCCTTCAGAGCCCTTCCTGAAATGCAGGCGGGCGGCCGCGGTGGGGGAGGACCCTGGAGACAGAGGTAGACCGGGGGCCGTCTCGGAGGCAGGACCGCAATGTGACCACAGAAGTAAGTGGCTCCGAGAGAAGTCCAGGGGCGCAGGCACTCCCGTGGCCCACGAGGCTAGGCCCAGAGCAGGGCCACAGCGCCCTGGTGTGGCTGCTGGCTTGGCCTGAAGCAGGTGCTGCACCTTCCAGCCACCCCCCTTGCCAGGGGTCTGTTCATACCGGGCCACCCTCTGTGTCTGTAGTGACTCTCCAAAGCAGCCACTTGCAGGAAGCAGCCCGCTGAGCATTCAGCGTCACGGCCCAGGGCAAATGTCCCTGTTGGCCTTATGAGCAAATGCACTGGCTCTTGTGTTGGGCGACGACTCTCCTAGATCAGTCCCCTGCTGCTGGGATATGGGCAAGCCTGTCTCATAGACTGTGGGTAGGCGCAGGGCTCTGGTCAAACAACTGGGTCAGGGGGCTTTTTAAGGGGCACAAGGCAGTGCTGTTACCATCCAATATGATAAGGCAACAACTGCGTGACCTGGAAGGCCTAACTCAAGTTTTTATTTTGGTTTGCACAACTTGACTGTTTCCTGAGATTCCTCTGGCCAGTGACACAGGTGGTGACTTGTGCTTGCATTTCTTGCTTCCCCAACACCATGTCTGAAAGAAGCTCAAGCCCCTCACTTTGTCCTGGCTCTGCAGGCCCTTCAGCCTTTGCTGGATCTTAAACACCTACAGGAGTGGGAATATAAAGGTGGAGAGTTTTGTTGAGGCAAAGGCAGAGCGCCTGCCTCCTGAAGGGTACACCACCCAGTCCCAGCCATGTGGACTATGGATTTTCAGGAAAAAATGTGCATGTCCATGTGAACTCTGGGTTTTCAAGTAGTTGACAACAAATTCAAGTTCTGATCAAACCAGTCTTGAGGTGGTTGTGTTAGACATCACCTCACTTATCATATTCATCCAAACATTTTATGAACACTTTTCTCCTGTATTACAAAGTTTACACATCCGCATTGTAAAAGCAAAAAAAAATGGTCCAGTGAAGTCTTCCCATAGCTGTACTCTTCAGAGGGAAGCTTTTTAGCAATTTCTTAAATGCCCTTCCAGGTGCATGTGTGTCTATAAACCCTTTTTAAAAAGCAGACAAGTGGGACCATCCCCACACCCTGTTTGATGCCCTTCCTTCTCAACTGGCAGCATATCACGCAGAGACCTTACACTTCCGTTGTATCTACATGGTATTCTGTATGGTATACCCTGATCTTTCCTACTTTCCCACTGGGTAGCTTCAATTCTTTTTGCCACTGTGAACTGTACAGTAACCAACAGGCACATGCTCCTGTGAAGCTCTGTCTGTAGGACATGTGCCTACTAGTGAGATCCCCCAGAGAACATGTGTACATAGCCAACCTACCCTACCACAAACATCTCAGTCATTGGGGGAACATGGTTTGATCTGTGGGTATGGAACCTACCTAGGATACCCCAAGGATCTGAGTTCCACCAATATTGATGATATTCATTGAAAACTATTCTCTGGCAGCCAGCTGTGATGGCATGCACCTATAGTCCCAGCTGCTCGGGAGGCTGAGAGGAGGCTTACTTGAGCCCAGGAGGTCAAGGCCAGCCTGTGTGTTCATCAGCTTTTTGTTGTTGTGACAGAATATTTGAGGAAAACTCAATGAAGGAAAGTTTGGGGGGGTTTTTTTTGGCTTATGGTTTCAGTCCATTATCAGCCACTTCCATTGTTTCTGGGCCTGTGACCAAGCAGAACATCATGGTGGAAGGGTGTGGCAGAGCAAGGATGCTTACTTCTTGGGCTGGGGACCTCCTTTCTGCAGTGAGGGTCCACCTCTCAAGTTTCCATCACCTTGCAGTCCATTCAGTTATGATGCCTCAGTGGCTTAGCCCATTAGTGAGATCAAAGGCCTCTTGATCTAATCAGTTTGACCTCTGGACATTGCTGCATTGCAACACATGAGACTTTGGAAGACATTTCAGATGCAAACTATAACACTGGGCAACAGCATGACTCCATCTCAGAGAAAAAAGAAGAGCTGCTCAGTGGGAGAGCACTTGCCTAGCAGGCAAAAGGCCCTGTGCTTAATCCCCAGTACCACCAAAAAAAGGAAGGAAACATTATCTTTTGGTGTCTTCTCCATCAGGCCATTGTGTTTTTGTGATTCGTTTTCTATTTAGCATAAACAAGTTCCAACCTTTTTTCAATGTAAATTTTCATTTTACTGAAAACTTCAGATGCTGAGATCCTTTCCCTAAGATTTCAAAAATACTGTATTGTTACTGCTGCGGTGGTTATATTTGTAATCCCAGCCACTCAGAGACTGAGACAGGATGTTTGCAAACTCAAAGCCAGATTCAACAACTCAGCAAGACCCTGTCTTAAAATAAGAATTTAAGGGGCTGGAGATGTGGCTCAAGCAGTAACACGCTCGCCTGGCATGTGCAGAGCTCTGGGTTGATTCTCAGCACCACATAAAAATAAAGATGTTGTGTACACCGAAAACTGAAAAATAAATATTAAAAAAAAATTATCTCTCTCTTTCTTTAAAAAAAAAAAAAGAATTAAATAGGGGGGCCTGGGGATGTGGCTCAAGTGGTAACGCGCTCGCCTAGCATGCGTGAGGCACCGAGTTCAATTCTCAACACCACATAAAAATAAAATAAAGATATTGTGTCCACCTAAAACTAAAAAATATTTTTAAAAAATTAAAAAGGGGGCTGGGGTTGTGGCTCAGTGGTAGAATGCTCGCCTAGCATGCGTGTGGCACTGGGTTTGATCCTCAGCACTGTGTAAAACAATGAAATAAAGATATTGTGTGTCCACCTACAACTAAAATATATATTTTAAATCTCCCCACTGAAACTATCCATTAGACAACTCCCCACTTTCCCTAAGACTTTATAACAAGTATCTAAATCACCAGGTTTTGGTTATACCAATTTTTACCAGTAATATCTTCTGCGATTTCCAACTTTCTACATTATTTCTACCTAGCTCAAGTAAAGATTTTTTTTTTTTTTTCCTGGTACTGGGATTGAACCCAGGGGCACTTAACTACCGAGCCACATCCCCACCCCTTTTTAAAAATATTTAGAGACAGGGTCTCACTGAGTTGCTGAGGCTGGCTTTGAACTAATGATCCTCCTGCCTCAGCTTCTGGAGCTGCTGGGATTACACCCATGTGGTGTAAGCCATTGTGTCCAGCTCAAAACTTTTTTTTTTTTTTAAAGCCCAATGTTCATTTCTTTATATATCTTTGTTTTGTTTACATATTTTTATGTGGTGCCGAGGATCGAACCCAGTGCCTCAAATGTGCAAGGCAAACACTCTCCCACTAAGCCACAACCCCAGCCTCTCAAAACTTTTTTAGCATAAAAATTTAGCAGCTAAAAAGTCTTTTGAGGTTTATACCAGTTTTAGTAAAAATATTTACCATGTGCAGTTTGTTAGCAAAGATTTTTTTTTTATCCATTTCTACCAGTAACAATCACGAATTAGATAAGAAACTGATAGGTTGGATTTATCTTTCAGCTTAAGTCACAAGAAAATTGTGAGCAATCTTGTGAAACAGAATTGGAAGAAAAAACATTAAGAGATGCAGATGGCTGGGAGGAAAGGGTGAGGCTGTGTTGTTTCTGTTGGGTTTCTATTGGTTGCTGGGTTCACAGGGTCAGTGACCTCCCTGGTTAATGTGAAAAGGTCAAGACCACTTTTACTGGGGATTGAACTCAGGGGTACTTGCCCACTGAGCCACATCCCCAGCACTGTTTTGTATTTTACTTAGAGACAGGGTCTCACCGAGTTGCTTTGCACCTTGCTTTGCTAAGGCTGGCTTTGAACTTGCCATCTTCCTGTCTGTCAGCCTCCCCAGCCACTGGGATTACAGGTGTCCTCAAGGCCACTTGGAGGTGCTGAGACAGCTCGGCATAGCCTCCAGCATCCCGATCTTTGCCCTCTGAGAGCACAGACAGCTTGTGCTTCTTTTGATTTGTATCTCTAGGAGGGAGGCTGATGGCCTCTTCTCCACTTCCTCTCTGGGACTCTGAGGTCCTGCCTGTCCTTTGCCAGATTCCTGGTAAGGGACTGGGCTTCACTTGTTCTGTCACGGCCATCCCCATCCCTGCATTTGAGTCCCAGTTTTCATGTTTATCAAATTTCAAACAAAATTTCATGTTTGTCTTTTGACTTGGCAGTATGTTTGTTTTTCCCCCACAAAAATGTAAAATGTTGGCATTCCTATTAATCACTTTCAGTCTGATGTGTTTTCTATCTCTAACTAGTTTGTTTTGCTGTTGGTTGATATTGTCATGCTGGGAAAGGCTCCACTCCAAGATGATTTTATAAGATACTCCCTGAGGTTTCTTCTGGTTTGGGCTTTTGTGTTGAAGTCTTGACTCCTCTGGGAAGTGTGGTACTGGAAGGGTGCAGCGGAAAGGGTGCAGATGTCACCCCAGACCAGCTCTTGGCAGCAGATTTGGAGAGTTGTAGGGCCACTCTGCAACAAAACTCCGGATGTGTGGAGGCCTGAGTACCAGCAGACACCCCTGCCTGCTGAGGCCTGGATTTTCAGGAGGACCACCTTGTGGAACCCTGGGATGGGGGCTGGGCCAGTGCTCTGATAAGTTAAGTGGAGAGTTAGGGAAAGACCAGGGCAAAATGGGGGCCCATCCACAGGGCCAGCTCCCCTTCCCTACTCATAGCAGTGGTAAATCCTGCCATTACTTTAAAAAAAATGTGCTGTAAAGGGGTCTGGGGTTGTGGTTCAGAGGTACAGCACTCGCCTAGCATGCGTTGAGGCACTGGGTTCAATCCTCAGCACCACATAAAAATAAAATAAAGATATTGTGTCCACCTATAACTAAAAACTAAATATTTTTTTTAAAAATCTGCTGTAAAGAGAAATCACTGTCTCATCTGATAGGAACAGGGGGTCTGAGAGTCATTTTCCAGTAAGGGCAAAGGACGATACCTCTCACATCTTGTTACTTCCAGCCTTCTAGCCCCACACTGGGCTGCTGACTTCTCTTCTTTGAAGGTAATAACTTTTTTAA